CCTGCTTTAGGTTTTTCTTTATATTTCTTTATTCATATTTATTGTTTTTTTGTTGTTGTTATTCAATATCAAATTTTATCGATATAATATTGTATATTACGATACGTAATATATATTAAATATAATTTTTGTAGTTCTCTGATCAGGTTTTAAACCCGAAACCATTTGGGTAAAAACCTAACCACTGCACCACTGGTAAGACGCTGCATGTTGTTGGAAGGTTCTTGAAGTAATGTTCATTAATTTTTTTCATATATAAACAACTATCTACGTAATACTACAACTACATTTATGTATGTGCTTACAATTTGAAAAAAATTATTTTGAGCAAAATAGTATTTTTTCGACCACTACTGTAGCACAAAAAAAAAGGAAAATTTCTACTATAGTGATATTACGCCTCACCTTGTTATATTTATAACAAATGCATTATAGATATTGTATGTGTATGCATGCATGTATACAATTATATTGATGGTGAAGGAACTTTCGTATTATAAACTTGTCAGTTGTCACAACGTTGAATGATCAGACAACACATTATCTTCATTTTCTGGCATTTGTTCCTTCTTGTTATAGTTTTTTATTTTATTTTTTTTTTTAATAAATTTTTTTATTTTAAAATTTTTGTGATTGTTTCATATTTTTACATAAATATTTATATCAGCTTTCATTACAATGATGTGACTTTTCTTTTGTATATGATTCATAAATGATAAATATACTTTGGGAATGACGTTTGAATCTCGGTAAATGAAAAGTCTTAATTCATGTGCACCCGCTTTATTTAAGTGATGATAAAACAAATCAGAAAAACAAAAAACAAAACAAAAAACATTTCTTTTATTCATTTTGCTAATTTTTTTAGCTCTCAAATTTTTATTTCGTGCACAAATTAAGAAATATCACAGATATCTACTGTCATGTTGATTAAAAACTAACTGGGATTATTTTTATTCATTGTAAACTTTTTTATAGCTTTCTTACTATTAATTATGCAAAAATATAATTTTATTCACATCTTCTTTTTTCTATTGTTATAATAGTTAATACACTTTTTTCCTTACCGCAATAGTGTCTTGCATTATTGTATACATCGAAGAATTAATGACGTTTTTAAAAAAAAAAAAATTATTGTCTTTTATAGTGAAACTTGTTAAATTTACTGAGACTACAGTTTAGTATATAAGGGTACAGTTTTATATTTCTGTCACTTATAATTTCAATAAACAATTTAAATAACTAGTTTCTTATGCCGAAATAACTCTCACCAACTATAAAATGAGTTAAAGCAAAGGGCGTCTTTTAATCAATGTGCAAGGTGTAAGCGAGGTAATATACTTCATTTTAAGAGTTTCGCAGAATAATACAGTAGAATAAAAATTACTAACTAAAATCCTACCGGCATCCTTAAAATCACGCTGATGCGTTAAACGATGTTCGTACGGAAGTTATCCACCAGTTTTTTATACCGGTATTTTTGGTCAACGCCTGTAGTGAATATAATTTTTGCAAACGTTTTAAACCTGAACTTCTTAATAGGAGTAGTGTTATATCTTCTTTGTTGCTACTTTTTTCTTTCTCTTTACAATTTGCAATTTACTTCTACAAATGAGTTGTCAACATATTCTCAAAACTCTTTGATTTCCGCAACAATACAAATGTGAGTACTTATAGAATTAAATTAAAAATTATATAGTCTTTCCGTACACAAGCGGACTGACAATCACTCTGATCTTTTAATTATTTTTAACACAAATATTTCAATATTGGGAACGCCATAAAATTGCACTTAAATCACTTTTAAAATAAACAGTTCAATTGTTCTATAAGTGATATCACATTGTGATTAGTGATAATTAATGATAATTTTTTTAAGTATACGTATACCTACTTGTAATTTCAACTAAATAAAAACAATTTAATTCAAGCAAAAAAAAAAAAAAAAAACTTAATATTTCTGGGTAATCTAAATTTATCTGTTTTGAATATTTTTATTCGCTTCTTAAATAGTTTAACGAATTTAGTTCTTTAAATGCTTCATGCAAGTGTGATTGACATTAAAACTTGTGTAAACAATATTGTCATTGATATCTTTTAAAAACGATTGTAAACAGCGGCAAATTTATTTCTAATGTACCTTTATAGAAAAAAAAAAAACAAACACTACATTGAAAAATGGAATTTTTCATTCAGAATTATCAAATTATGGTATTATACGAATACTTATACGACAACAAATTTATTAGATCAAATTCAGTGAATTATACAAGACACCCCGAACAACAAACCATAGAAATAAAAAAAAAATTATAAATGAAAATAGTCACTCGTTTCTACAAACATACACACTGTTTACTGTTATCGATTATTTATTTTTGTTTTAACATTTTTTTTTAATTTTTTCTTCCTTTAATACTTATGCAATCACTTTCCCTTATCAAAATATACTGGCGCCAGTTATGACATTTGAAATTTTGATAAGTTTAAATTGCATAATAGTAGCTTGTATTATAGTATATACATATATGTATATAAAAATGTATGTATAAATTATACATTTATTTACATTAGCTTATTGTTTGTTGAGTTCATTTCAATATAAAATAAATACTTATGTGGGTATATTAAGAAATTTAATACTTAAAATTCAAATTTACTTAAGTAAAAATAGTATACTGCTTACTGCTTATTACATTGTAAATATCAAATATAAATTTATTGTTAATTAGAATTACAAATATTGAAGAAAAATCTTTATCAGTGAACAAAGTAGGATTACGTCTCAAATGATCTTTTATTTTAAGTGTGTAATTCAAAAAATTTAACAGTTGCGCTTATATAACAATGGTAACAGTTGGTTTTATATATGTACATATGTATGGGAAAAATGATGATAAAACCAATTTGAGACTATTATAGAAGAAATGATCTTTACTGTCCTCCAATTACATTTTGACCATTTTGTATCTTGAAGGGCTGCACCTAGAAAAGTAGAAGAAATAGATAAAAATTTTATTCCAAGGAAAAAATGTTTTTACTGTAAGATTTATATTTACAATCTGACCAATGTTGTGGTGGTTATGGCATTTAGCGTTCAACTAGAATGACTAGCTACTAGCTTACTGTCTCTCAACATAAGATATGTATATAATATTTATATTTCAACAATTACAAAACTATTTTTAAACATTTTCCCCAAAAAAAAATTATGTTTGGGCTTTTATTAGTATTCCTTTATTTGTAACCAGCCCAGAAATTTTAATAGCTGTTTAAACCACGACCTCAAAATTGTGGTAATACTAAATCACTACAACTAATTACAACGTTAAAATTGAATAGTTAATAATTAATCAAGGCTACGGATTAATTTAAAAACCTATAAGAAACTTAAATTACATAAATAAACAAATTTAAGTCGCCGACAATAGCTACTATTTTACTAAACCTGTTGAAATTTTACACAAACATTTAAATAAAGCAATGACAACTCGATATTATAATAATTCCCCCCTTATAAAATTTAATAATTCCCTTCTACATTTTTGTTCAGCATATTAATTATTCACATGTCCAGTACCAATTTATTATATTAAATGTTCATTGTATATACGAGTATGTATATACAAATTTCTACAACTTAATTTAATAACAAAAAATAATCCTTTAAACCTGAACTAATGAAGATTTCCTATAAGTGAAAAGTTATATACATATTTCATTGTATCCGTAAAAATTAATATGAATTTAATTAAATAACGTTAAGTATGTATAGAAAGAAATTTAAATGACATATAAATGACAACAGTGGCACAAAGAACAACTAAAAATACAAACGAACATTTTTCGTTTTGTCAGTTTTTTGAAGAGTCATCTTGTTTTGATTTGGTCATTTGTTACGGCAATTTGTTTTTCCTAAAAACTAAATACCACAAAACAGCATGGTGTTTCAAATTTGAATCACAAATTGATAATATAAAGAAAACAAAACGATGAATCAGCAGTAAAAAATTTGTATTTACTTTTTAATTAATTGATTTTGTACACATACATACATATATATATTTACGGTCTTATACGTATGAAAGCATGTATAGTTGTAAATTTGAATACAAATCGCCAAAAAATTATTTGAAAAATAGCACTTAATAATTTGTTTTTAGCCGCATTTAATAATTTATTTTACACCGGGAATGGATACAATGAGAATACTGCAGAGAATCGTAAAAAATTATATGAAAAATTTGAAAGACAAATTACGTTCTCCAGGATTTCGCCCTCTGTTTGATGTACTTTCTACACTTAAAGTAAAATTTATAGTAGTATTAAAGAGATTGCAGTATAATATGTATATGCATACAGGCGTCCAGGCTAATCACATCACATCTTATGAAATCACAGCATTATGAAGATACATTTGTCTGTCCGGCCAGCAACATATATGTACATTAAAGATATAAGTACATATCTAATATAAAATATTAAAATATACATACATGTTAGCAATATGGCTTAACATGTTTGCAATTTCCAGTAACAACGTAAAAATTTATGACGTATATAAAGATTCACATGATGATTCGATGGTATCACAACAGATCTATTTCTCCCAAGGTGCATTTGTACTTGGTCTCCACGAGAGATACCCTTAAAACAATATGTTATAGACATTAACACTAATCATACCAAGACTTAATATATACCTATTTCTACCATAACGGGTCAAATGACCCGTTGTTTTATTATAATTCAATATGCATTTATTAAAGAAAAATTTAACATTTTTATTGCTTCCTAAGAAAGGAATTGAAATAATTGAGGTAGGATCGAATCTTGGTTTTAGATTATAAACAAAATACCACCAATAACAACCAATAATTTATAACTAATTTATTGTTATACATACATATTTCTTATTGTAAAAACTATTAAAGTAAAAATATTAAAATTATTTTAATAAAATTTTTAATCGTTTGTTTTTCTTTTTCTTTTTTTAACAGACCCAAAAAATTCAATTTCCTTGCATGACTGTCATATTAATGAAGTTGACACTTTTCGAGGGATATCTGGACAGCAAAATAATCCAATGTTATTGCATAATTTAAGCAATACTAGTAATATAAATAATTCTGGAAGAACAAATTTTACAAATAAGCAGCTTACTGAATTAGAGAAAGAATTTCATTTTAACCGGTATTTAACAAGAGCACGTAGAATCGAAATTGCCAATTCTTTACAATTAAATGAAACTCAGGTGCGTAACTAAATTTTTATTATTTTTTTCTTTTTTTTTTATTAAATATGATAAAAACGATAACAAAAAAAAATTTTGTATAATTTTTTTTTTTTATATTCAGTCTATAAAGTAAATATGAAATTATTGCGTGTATTGTAATGTTATTATGTCGCATTTTCGTACTAAAAAAATAAGCAAAAGAAATTCTTGAAAAAGTCATTCAATATAATATTACCTGAAAAATTTGTACATACATATATGTATATATGTATATAAAATTTTATGTGACTATAATATTACTAAACATGCAAATGTTCTTAATAAAATTTGAATTTTATGAGTATTATAAAATATTTATTTAATTGAATGTGTATGTATTATATTTGAATATAAAAATATTTTCTAATATATACAAAAATTCTTCTTTGCAGGTTAAAATATGGTTTCAAAATAGACGAATGAAACAGAAAAAACGAGCTAAAGAAGGTTGGATACCTGCTGATACTGTCAATCAATCAAATATGTCAGTTGTTGTTGCATCTGATGGCAAATCAAGTACTTATCAGTTAAATAAAAGGGAAACAAGTACATCTGATAATAATATACCACAAAATACCAGTGATTCTAATAATAAATGAACTAAGAAAAAAAAAGAAAAAAAAATTTTTTTTTGCTATTACACACAATTACAACACGAGTATTACCTTGATATTTGGTAACCATCAGCAAAAGAGCAGTTCCATAACATATTTATGTATGTACGTACATACATATATTAGATACGAAACTGATTCTGGTTATTATGTGAAATGGCTTTCCTCCCAAAAACCCTTTTAGCAATATTTTTTCAAATTTGACCATTTTTTCCTTTGCAATATTGCCTCCTTTCCAGACAGATTTGTACATGCTTGCATACATTCACTATATTTTAATTCAAAATGCTTTCAAAATTTAGTAATTATTATTAAATTCATTAAAATACATTTGTATATTATGTAGGCATATAACAATGTATATGCCTTTGTAAAAAATTCATATGTACGTAGCTACCTAATTTTTTTGTAAAATATTTGTCATAGAATGCATTGCCTATATCATATACATATGTATTTATATATATATATATATATATATATATATATATACAAACAGTATATATATACATAATATTATATATATTATATATATATATAATATTATTATTATATAATATAAATATATATATGTATATATATATTAATATATACATATTATATTATATACATTGCATACCCAACTACACAGTACACCTCGCATGTACTTATGTACGCATTATTAGGTGTAAAGGTATACTATACAAAATTCATTTTTTGAAGCATTTTTGACACTCTTAAATTATTAATTATATATTAATCAAAAAGCCTAATCCGATAAAAGACTGAAAGTTTGTCTTTAACTATTACACGTATGTATGGGTATTTCTGAAAATGCATTTCTTAAGGTTATAACAGTCAAGCTTTTAAAGCTTCATGCACAAATTAAATGTAGAGCTTTTAAAGCTTTACAGCTTTAACCTTAAGAATTTCTTTTTTAGAATTACCCTATGTGTGTACATAGATATATAACATTTTTTTTTTGAAAATGTTAAATAGCTTTTCAGATCGAATATTTCAGTTTTATAAGTATAATACCGTTGATGTAAAATTGTTGCTGCTAAATGTCTCAGGGAATTTAATATCGTTAGTTCTATATTTCTAAAGAATACGTTCATATATATTCACTGTTACTAAGTAAAGTAAAGGAGATTCATCAGATTCACATTTTAGCTTTTGAAACAAATCCATACATATACATATAGGTACATAATCTGCGCATACGTCATTGATACATTTTTATTATTAGTAACAGAGATGTTACTTTAAAAAATTTTAAAACCACACTTAAAAAATAATGGACCAAATTATTTTATTATTAAATTTAAGAAAAAACATTATAATTTATGCAATTTGAGTTCTAAATATTGAATAAAATAAAGCCGTTTAAGAGAAACCCTTTATATAAAAATCCGTTTAAAATCACTTAAAAAAGAGTTAAAAAAAATTATTATTAAGACTTTCATTCAAAACTTTTTGTTACATTTTACAAGATTTATAACTTGTATTAGCAATATGTATGTAATTACCATACAATTTTTCTACTTATTTAGAAAATTATTTTCAGCGTTATTCCCATTTTGGTTTATTGATAGAGCCAAAGCATTAATTTTCTATTTTTTCTGATTTAATAAATGTGGTTCTTTAACTGAAGTTAACAACCGAGAGAAATTATTTTAAGAGACTTATGTCATAAGTCATAAGACCTGTCATAAATTATTATGACAGGTCTTTTTACTGAGAGAAAATGACAGAAATCAAATTGTCTGAATTACTTTTCAAGAATTCAGTTTTTTAAAATATTTTTAGTTTAAATTCCTACTCTGTTTAAATACATATACATACATATGCATAAATTGATCAAACTGAATTGATTTTCAATTGATATTATGAAATATATTTGTCAATTTTTGAACAGACATAATGTTCAAAAAAATTTAATTGTCAGCACTTTTATTAGCAATGGCAACATCGAATGTCATGCAATGTGCAAGCGAATGAGTACTTATTCATTCTACCAATATGGCTGTCACATCTTCCGCCGTTTGAATATTCTGAAGAAATACATCCAAATTTTGGAAAATTAAGTTTGTAATTATAGAAAAAGTGTAATTAAAATGATGTAACTCTAAAGTGTAAAATGTAGTCGTTTAGATAAATAGCAATGCTGAATTTAATATAAATATTGAAAAAGTTTCCAAACATTTCTTTATGTCAAATTCGTGTCAAAAATAACCTCCAGTTTTTGCAGTCTAACAATAACTTTTTAATTTGCAAAGAGTTTCCATAATATTTTTCAATTTTTACTTTTAATAAGTGAAAACCAATTGATTATATATAGAAAGTAAATAAAATAAAAGGTTTTGTAAATATGAATAGTACAGGAACATTGCATCACAGCACAGCGTCTAGTGAAGAAATTCACTTTTTCGTAAGAGACAAACAGTAAGTATTACTATTATCCTTTCGTATATTGTTTACAATTTTTTTATGTTGCTTATAAGAATCATTTAAAAATGTGCATAAAAATGAATACTGTTTTGATTGTAAATTTTTTAATGCATTAAAGATATGGTTAGGAGACTTCTGTACAAAACCCATTGAAATGATGGAAGGTCAAATTAAAAAAATCCAAAATTTTTCATTTTTTATATGTACTGCTTGTAACGAAAAGTTGTTAATAAGTCGCTTTTTTTTATTTGTTTACTTTTAACACCCATAAAAATGGCACAACTTTTTTTTACTTGTGAGAAAAATTCTATTATATAAATTTGGCATTTCTATTAAAGCCATATTGTCATAGCATTCTTCATGGAAGACTTAAAAAATATTTATTACAATATTTTTATTTTATAATTTCAGTGCTTGGGAAAGCGCCATTTCTTCTTATAGTGGACCTGATCCTTTGGAAATGTGGTACAATTATATATGCTGGTATGACTATAACATTCATATGGACCCTGAAAACAAATTTAGGGAATGCTTAGAAAAATGTTTATCGTTATTTGAAAATGCTGATTATTACAAACAAGATTTGAGAATGGTCAAGTTATGGGTTAAGTACATAGACTTACAGCCAAATCCATTAAATTTATATCAGTTGTTATATCAACGTGGTATAGGTACACAGTGCAGCTGCTTTTATATAAGTTGGGCTCATTATTATGATTCTGCAAGTGCATTCAAACAAGCGGAGTCTGTTTATAACTTAGGATTTCAGGTAAACAAAAATCATTCTTAATATCACGAATAAAATGTTTTTTATTTTTTATACGCTAGGCCAAGGCGGAACCCTATATGGAATTACAAGAAGCGCATACGAAATTTCGGTTGTCAGTTTCCCAAAGAATGCTTTATAATGATAGTTCATCAAAAAAGAGGAGCGCTAATCATTTGTAAGACTACATAATTTATAATTCGGTTAAATATTATTTAAAGAAACAAAAATATTTTGTAGAAACGAGCAACGTCAACAAATTACAACTCTTAACCCTTCTAATAATGCAGCAACAAATCCAAGTAAAAAAATTAGATCTGAAATTCAAGAAAATTGCTCAGAAACCGGTGAATATCGCAACCATATTCCTCAATCGCAACAGCAACAGCAACCACAACAGCATCAATCACAGCAACAACATCAGCAACATCAAGCTCAACCGCAACAACCACAACAACAACAACAACCCATTCCACATCATACACAGTCTCACAATCAATATAATCAACAACAAACCGTACAACATCAGCAATCTGTACAAGTTCACTCTCAAATACAACATCAACCACAATTGCCACATCAAACGATTCATCATCATAACCAAGCAGAACAAAATATAACGCAGCCTTATGTACAAAACCAAAATTATTCCCAAAATGTACATGTACAACAAAATCAACAGCATGCTCACTACACATCAAATGTATATCAAAGAGAAAATCATTCTGCATCGAATTATTATGCTGAAAATAACAGAGCACCTTCCGAAACGTATTACAAACATGAGAATAACAATGAATTGCGACCTGAATCTTCAAATATATGTTCATATAACCAAAATTCAAGCTTAGAAACAAGTATTAATAATCAATATATTTTGCAAAATGTTAAAATTCCTGCGAATTTTGCGAGATATTCTCGAAATAATTATGAAATGTGGAAACCTCTATTATTTCTTGAAGAGCCTTTTGATGAAAACAAAAGATGTATGTATCAAAAACATTTGGTTTATCCTGGAGATCAAAATGAGTATAGCCCAGAAGAAATAAGGGCTAAGAAATGGATATGCAAAATGCAGCAAAAAAAATCTGAAAATAGCAAACCCGATACACCTAAAGCAGATTTGGAGCAAGTCACAGAAACTACAACGACGGAATATAATGAATTTCAGTCACAAAATTGCAATGAATTTTATGTTGGAGATTTAGAAGAACAAATAGAGGCTTCTACTATTCGTTTTAGTATGGACAGTAACGGGGAAATGAAAAACAAAACACTAAAAATTAAATTTCGCAAAGATCCTGTTCAAAATTATAGTATAGATAATAATAATAAAGTATCTAATTATGAAGATTGTTTTAAACAATTTGAAAACAGATCAGGTAAGTGTAATTAAAATAACTTAAAAAAATGTAGTGTAAAATATATTGAAATTTTTTTCTCAAAATTTTGTAAAATTTTTAGAAAGCACAGCTTATCAAAATTCGACACCAAAGGTTAAAAAAATAAAGAAAATTAAGATTAAAAATAATTACGATAGTCCACAAATTCCATCAGAAAATTCTAAAAAGAAAACTAAGTCCAGCAGAACCAAAAAAAGGTTTGATGACGCAAATTTATTATTATCCTTTGCCGGAAATACAAATTCTGCCGATGGGAATAGTTTTACAGAGAGTGAAAATACTTCTCAATGTGATGATACATTGGAATATAATGAAGACACTAACAATGATTTTAATTCAACTTACAATGAAACCACGAGTAACATGTCAAATGCTTCTACTCCTGTTAAAAAATTAAGTAATGCAAACACTGAACAAAATTTCAAGAACTTAAAACATAGAAGTATAAATGTCATACAAAATGAAGATTCGCTAAGCTCCTACGAACAAAATAGTTTCTTCGGAGCTGAAAATGATGAAGAGGTTAGAAAAAAGCGATTGGAAAAAGCTTTACAAACTATTGAAACGCATCTTGCTAAACCTGTTATTGATCCTTTTAGTTTTGAGCTTTGCAAAGCATTTTTAACTAAACTAGATTTTCCGCCAAGAAACGAAAACAATTGCAAACTTGTTAATACCCCTGTGCCAAAAATTGGTAACTTAAAATACATAACACTTGCAGATGTTAACTATAGTTTGGAGAAAGAAGTTGGTAAAGGTTCATATGGCTCAGTTTACAGAGCTTTAAATACAAATACCGGTGCTGTGGTAGCATTGAAATTTCAACGGCCTCCTAACAATTGGGAATTGTATATTTGTAAAGAAGTTAGAAAACGTATTAAATATCCGTACATTGTAAGTTATTATTAAAAAATAATTTTATATTAATTAATTGTTTTTAAACGTAGTTGTCTGGTATCATGGATGTTTCTACTGCTGTGATTACACCAAATGCTAGTATATTTGAAACCGAATTTTCTTCTTTCGGATCTTTATTAGATGTCAATAATAAATTGAGACAGGCTACAAAAAAGGTAACAAATTTTTTTATATGGAAAAACGTTATTATTCTAACTATTTTTGTTATTTAAGGTGATGCATGAAAGCTTAGTCATACATTTTAGCACACAAATTTTGGAAATCATGGATCATTTACATTCATGTAAAATAATTCATGCTGACATAAAACCGGATAATTTTTTACTCATGAAAACGTAATTTATTATAGAATTTAAATATTTTATTCAAAATATGTAGTGTTTTATTAAATTACTTGCATTACAAATTACAGACCGTCGGTTGATACAATTTCTCTTCGTCTTATCGACTTTGGTTGTGCTATAGATATGAGTTTATTTCCTGAGTATACGCAGTTTAAGAAGGTAAATCTACTTTATAAATTCCTTATTTGTTATTACAATTTGTTAAAAAATTTAAGGTAATTCAAACTGATGGCTTTACATGTACGGAAATGCAAGAAGGAAAACCTTGGTCTTATCAAACAGATTATTACTGTATTGCTTGCACAATTCACGTAATGTTATTTGGAGAATATATGCAAGTTGAAAAAAAATATAATGCTTGGGACATCAGGCAGAAGTTACCGAGGTATTTAAATAAAAATAAAATCAAAATTTTTATTTTAACCAATATTTTATATTTATTTAAGATACTTAAAAAAACATCTTTGGACAGAATTCTTTTCGAAAATGCTTAATATTCCTGATATAAAATGTTTACCGAGTTTAAAAGAAATTAATGATCAAATGCGAGAAGAATGTTTAAAAATGGACTCTGAACTACAATCTCAAATTCGTACACTTTCAAATATTTTATACAAGCGTTAAATGTTGGAATTAAGTTCAATGTAAATATTAAAAAAAAGGTTTAGTTTTGTAAAATAGCTTTTTCCCTCTGAGAAAAGGATTATATATGTATGTTATTTTAATTTAAAAGGAAAACAAAATAAATTTATATTTAAATATTTAAAAATATAAAATGAATTGTAAATTTATTATTTTATTTAAGGGATATTAAAGATAAAAAACAAAATAAAATTTCTTTCTACTTGAAAAATTTTTGAGATCTTAAGGAGGTAAAAATTAATATTACAAGTGCATATGTTGAGTAAAATTTTCAGTTTAAATCTTTTACAACATATCGTGTCTTTGCAATAAAATACCGAAAATTCAAAAGACTTAAATTAATATTTTTTAATAAACAAAGCTGCTTTATTTTGTTCTTGTTTTTCTAGAACAAATCTTAGCTTTACTTTTAAAATACTTATTTTTAAAACAAGCTTCAATTTTTTTTTATAGAATTACTATAATATATTCACTTAAATTTACTTAAATTACATATTTTAATTTAAAACCGTACGTAAAACAATATTTTAGTATTTTATTTTTTTATATAAAAAATATATATTTTAAAATCAGGACAAAATCATTAATTTTACACACAAAAAAAAATCTCAAATATAAATTATATTTCATCGTTTACGATTCTTTCTATAGCCTTTTCCATACCAACCGGCTTGAACGTCTGCTTGTTTTGCTTTATTAAGTTTTAAACGTTTATCTGTGATGAATTCTTTTAAAACGATGTTATCTTCTTCACTTGAATCATATGTATCGCAGCATTCACAAACGGTTTTCTTTCCGTTTCTAAATTTGTTTAAACAAAATTCAACTGTTACACTTTTATAAAATTGACAACTAAATTCCGCATAATGATTGAAACAAAAGTCACAATCTGCTGCACTTTTATTCATTTTAAATATTGGTATTATAGCTGAACTCCAAAAATTGATTTCTGGTGGCGGAGGTTTTATTATACTATGTAATCCTGAATATACGTAACTTGACTCGTAATAATTGGGTAATTTCATCTTATTACACAATTCAACTAAATTGAATAAACATGTTTCATTTTCTTCATTGGCAACAATTTTTTCTGAATGTAAAATATTTTCATTTTTATTATACTCTTCAGTCTTTGTATATGAGTTATAATTTACTAAAAGTGGGGCTTTAACAAAATCTATTGCATTTGGGAACATACATCCTAAATAAATATCACAAGGAAATTTTTCATCAGTTTCTCTTTTAATATTAACATCTGAAATATTTGAGTCATACTTTACTGCTGAATACTGGACATCTAAATTATCTTTTCTGTCTTTGACTTGTCTGCTTATATCACTTACAATTGGTTTACTTTCTTTAATATCTAGTGTTTCATTTTTATGTTTTATACTAATATTTATTTCGTTGCCATTTGCTTTTTTATATTCTACTACATCATTTTCCAATTTTACATCTATATTTTCAATACTGTTCGAATTACTTTCTGAATCAGAAGAGCTTTCATACTCTTTTAATAAATGCCTCGAATTTAAATTTGTTTTGAGCTGTTTATTTTTCTGTGATTTCATAAATGGTCTTTTTAAATTAATCGACCTTTTTTTAGGGGCACAAGAGCTCTCGGAATTCTCTGAGAATCGAATTGGCTTCAGCATTGGCTGGGACACAGTATGCAGTTCTTCATCTACAAGTGGACTAGAGTGATAAAATATAGGGTCGTTTTCCCTACAATATAGAGGGACTGAAATATTCAAATGTTGCATAAGTAGTTCCATTACTTGATCACATTTTCCATTAATTTTAATTGATGCTAGCTTATCTTTTGATGTCCATTGCAAGTTTACAATACAAATTTTCGCTCTTTTATTTTTCGGTTTATCCATTTGCCAAAGCCAATGGTATTTTTTTAATACTTTTAAACTAGACCCAAGACATAAAATTACATCAGCCTTTTCAGAGTGTTTGCATGCGTTCGTCCAATTTAGTGGCCATTTTAAATTTCCTCTTTCTCCAAAGTGAACGATCTAAAAAGAAAAGTATTGTGAAAGGCAATGTAACAAATATACATGCAGATAAGAAAAATATTATTTAAAATTACTTTCTTATTAAAAGGAGCTTATGATTTTCTTTTACGGAATAAGTTAATTTATAGAAAATTATTTTTTAATTAATACTAATATTAAGATCAAAATGGAAATCTTTTAATAGATTTACCGTATCAATTAGTGGTCTTAAACAGAAGCGGCACCTTCTATTGGTTTTATGATTAAATCTCGCAGTTAATTCGGTTGTATCAAATATTCTCCAATATTCCACATTCGGCTTGCAATACTTGCAAACTTCAATATACATATTACCATGAACTTCACTCAAAGAAATTTTAGGTAAACCGGAACGTAGATGAAGTCCATCACAATTTTGAGAAACTATATGTTTCAACATTTTCCTTCTATGAAGTTCGTACAATGCCATATGAGTAAATGTTGGATCTGACAATGACAAATCATATTTTCCGATTTCTTTGCCTTGTTGTAACAGAGTCCATATGCCTTGACTACCCCTATAATCAGGAATTTTAGCTGATGTACTAATTCCGGCACCCGTGTAACATACTAAATGTTTTGCATTTGATATAATTTCAGCTAAACGTTCTACTTTTTTCTCAATAAGCTCACACTCATCTTCCTTTTCAATTACTCTTTCTTTGTATATTTTAACAAGTTCTTTGCGTCTACTCAATTTTTTCGTCAAATCAGAATAAGATTCTAAATACTTTTTTTCCTCATCTGTTCTTGAAGATTCAATTTTTTTTAAAATCGAAGAAACCTAAAAACTTAAATAAATTATAAAATATATTCTTGTACAAAACTTTTACTTTTTTTGCAGATTCCTTGTGAAGTTTTTTGGGGTTTTCTTCCTTTGAAGGATTTACTTTATTTCTTGTTATATATAGCTTAACTGTCCTCCGTTCTTTTGTTTTAGTTTTAGACATATTTGTTAATAGCATTAATAATGGGTATATATACAAAATATGAATTAAAATTCTTAAACTTAATCTGTTTTTTGAAAAATAAGTTCTTGAATAAATATGATTAATTAATTAATAAGCACATCTTAAAGCACATTATTTCTTAATTTATTTTCACACTTAAATTAAATATAAGCTTCACATTCACTAATCATAAACAAAACCAACATTCTGAGTATAAATATCACTGTTGTGTTAGCCTTGATGTTGCTCAAATATCCAATTAAGATTTAACTTTTTATACACTGGAATACAAAATCTCTTAAACGAGATGTTTAATCGGTCGCTATTCGTAGTATGGTCACATGCGTTAATAATAAGACAAAATATTTGACATATTTTTGCAGTGGTTTCAAGAACTGCGTGTACCACAATAGTTTTCGTTACCTGTTAATTGCAGTACAATTAATTTAATTTTGCAGTACAATCGAGCTTAGGAATTGAATGTGAATAAAATATTCGGTGCTCAATTTCAATTTTTATTGTTTGTTGTCTTAATTAGAAGAAAATCAGCTTTGATAAAGTGCGTATGTATCGCACGAAATATATTAGCGAAAAATAAAAAAAAAAAGTATTTTATTCCGAATAAAAGGAAGTTTTCTTTTCATACCAATGAAGTCGAGTTCTTTTACGCCAAAAAAGCCACAGTATTTGGTTATTTTTTTCCATTCAAACCTAATTATTTCAAAAATACATGTTTGGACACTGAAAAAGAGTTACATCCCAAAAATTTAGAATTTACAAATGCTCTTATTGAAGATATTGGGAACTTTTTAACATTACTATTCTCTTAGAAAATAAACTTTTTTAAAATTTTTCATTAAAATGAGTTGACATTCGATATATTTCTATTTTATGAATAATGACATTTTTATAGCTTTCAGCCATAGCAATATTAAAATATTTATTTAAAAAAAAAAAAGTAAAATATTTTAGATTCAATTGTCATTCTATTAATTTAATAATTTAATAGACCTATTATCCAAAGCATTACGTTTTTGTGGCGTCAAGTTTCAAGTCTATTTCTATCTAGAGCAAGTGATGTTCAAATATTTTTATTTAATAAAATGAGGTAATGCTATAATTTTTTAAAGAACCGTTTTGTTGCTAACTCAAGTTTCGTGGCATACTAATTTGACATTTCAGATGTTTTGTCTTTGTGCTTTTATCTTTTACAATAGTGGTGATAGATTAAATTGTACAAATTTCAATTTTTAAATACATAATTGAAAAATATTGAGTAGATTAAATTATATTCTGAAATAATAAAATAAAATGTCTCGACATAGAATTGTTCGTGCGATGGATTACTCCGATGGTAAGATATTTTAAGTTTAGGAAAAATAAAGATAAAAATTTAAGAGAAAATGAAACACCAGCCTACATAATTGGGAAATTAATTTTAATTTAAAAATATATTAAAACATTTTTCAATATCTTATACAGTGCGATATACATATAGGTAGCCTTTAGTGAAAAGGTTATGTGACAATTGAAATATAAGCTTTTCAAATATTATTCGCAGATTATTTTTTAATAAGATTTTTGTTTTTTATTTTTTTTAGAGTACGATGGCTACGATGATGTTTACGGGCATTCAGTTGATGATGAAACTGGAATTTCACCAACAGACGCATCACAATGGATATATGATAGAGCTAGAGGACAACAAAGTATATCTGAATTTATTAAAACAAATCGAAACATTAAAGAAGAAGATGAAGAAGATGATGCTGAAAGATGTAATACACATAATGAAAAGAAGAGACGAGATTCAGAAAATTTTCAGATGCCTGTCTTAGATGATCTCGAGAAAATAAAATTAACATCCTGCATAGATGAAATTCGTAATGTTGTAGGAGATACTTTTTCAGATAAAAAAATTGTTGATGCTGTAATGCAGCATAATTTTGACTATAATACGGCTCTAGATTCTTTATTAAATGATAACTCAAAGGAAAAACAAAATCAGCCGATAATCAGAGGTGAGTTTATTTTATTTCAATATATCTGCATTAATTGATTTCAATTTTTTCTTTTTTTTTTTCGTTTAAATTTTTTGTTTGGTTATTGTTTGCTTTTATTTCGTTTGTTTTATTTCATATACTGTAAGGTAAGATGTTAGTTTTAAAATTCCAAATAAAGTGGAAAAAAAAGAAGAGCAAACTTCTGTTAAATTGGATGATTTAATCAAAAAGAATTTAAAAAATATTAAGGACGACAATGACACAGTAGAAATATCGAAAAAAAAATTTGTTTTACCTGTATTGAGAAAAACTCAAATTACACTTCCACAACTTAAAACGAATTCAAAATCTAATACTAATAACGACGAGATTGATAATTTAAAACTGAAGGTTTTACAAAAGGTTGGGGAAAAAATGAAGAAACTAAATTTGAACGAAAATGTTCAGAAGACTGCCACTGAATTTGATATGGTTGATTTAACTCAAGCTTTAGAAACCACAAGTTTTACAAGTACTGAAAAGTCAATTGAATCTTACAATGACAATTTTTTTATACCTTTTATTGAATGCAATAGGCCACAAAAGAGCATTCCTTTTACCGATAAGAAATATAAAGTGAAAAAACCATCTAATTTTCGTACACATAAATCTAGTTTCGCAAAAGTTATGAATTTAAGGATGAAAAATAATCTAATTGAATACGTGAAGCATTCGTTTTTTGTCAAACACAAAATTATATCCTTCAGTTTTAATGTTTTATCTCCGGATGATGCAATTAAACGTTATACTACTGGAAAATCAGAAAAAAATGATAAATAATTTTAATTTATCAATTATTACATTGTGTTTGTACTTCGAAATTTTAATATTGAATGAATAGTTAGAATATTTTTGTACTAAATTTAAATTTCTTGTACAAATTTATTTTTAAATTTTACCATGTAAGCTAGATTGTATCGTATTTACAAAATTAAGTAGTAATGTAGCTAAGTTTAAAAATGAAAACTACAAAAATTTTCGAACCCATCTTAGAAAAACAAAATTTTGAAATTAATTATTTTGTTAATATAAATTTTATGATAAAAAGGGATAAAATAAGTTAATAAGTTTTTAAAAAGACTTTGCATGAAAATTACTTTAAGCCTTATTGGTTTTAGGTAATAAAAGACAAATTGTAACGTATATGTATATGATAATTTGAAATAAAAATAAAAAAGGCGGTATAAATAAGAAAAAGGGGTATATTTATAAATTGCTCTGCTCTATATATAAATTTTTTGTCTTTTCTTAGAACTAATTTTCGCTTGCAAATTATAGAAAATTTAGATCTCTCAATATCACATGTTCGTGAAAAACAAACTAAACTTGCAAATATGGCTCCTGTAACAGTAATTGTCACACCTCAAAATGACAAAAATGTTAAGAAAGGTTTTGATCTTAGCGAAGATAAACGTGAAGGCTCCGGTAGAAATACTCCAGAGGTTCAAATATTAAGTGAGGAACAAAAATCTGCTTTGAACAAATTAAGTAGGGAACAATTACAAGAAACTGCAAGGAAACTTTTTGAAAAGGAAAGGACTGGTGAAAAATCTCACTTACATATGGTGGTAATTGGTCATGTTGGTAAGATAAATTAATAACTAATATAAGTAATAATTTTAAATTATATTTTTTTCGAAGATGCTGGTAAAAGTACTTTAATGGGTCATTTGCTTTACGATACTGGTAATGTTTCTCAAAGAGTTATGAGCAAGCATGAGCATGAAAGCAAAAAAATTGGTAAGCAAAGCTTTATGTATGCCTGGGTTCTTGATGAAACTGGTGAAGAAAGATCTAGGGGAATAACGATGGATGTAGGAAGTTCGAGAATTGAAACGAAATCTAAAATAGTAAGTGACAGATTATATGCGAGCTGTTTTACAAAATTAGGTTTTTAATATTAATACATAATTTTAAATATTTAGGTAACATTGTTAGATGCTCCTGGTCACAAAGATTTTATTCCAAATATGATTTCTGGTGCGTCACAAGCAGATGTAGCCCTTCTTGTGGTTGATGCTACTAGAGGTGAATTTGAAACAGGTTTTGAACAAGGTGGTCAAACTAGAGAACATGCTTTATTAGTTAGGTTTGTGATTAGAAAACAAAAAGAAAACAAAAACTGATATGTTTTTTAAAGGTCTCTCGGAGTAACTCATTTGGGAGTTGTCGTTAACAAGCTTGACACAGTTGATTGGTCTCAAGAAAGGTTTAACGAAATTGTAGGAAAATTAAAATCATTTTTAAAACAGGCTGGTTTTAAAGAAAATGATGTAACTTTTATTCCATGTTCAGGCTTAACTGGTGAAAATTTAGTAAATGTACCAACAGATACTAGATTGACAAATTGGTATAATGGTCCTACGCTTTTAGATGTTATTGATAATTTTAAAATACCAGAAAAGTCAATCGATAAACCATTGAGAATGTCAATTTCTGACATATTTAAAGGAACTGGTTCCAATTTTTGTATATCGGGAAGAATCGAATCTGGGTTTATTTGTACAAATGATAAAGTTTTGATTAATCCTGTTAAAGAAACTGCTGTAATAAAAAGCATTTCAATTGATGAAACATCCTTTAATGCAGCATTTGCTGGAGATCAATGTTCTGTAACGATTTCAGGAGTAGATGTTAATAATATATGGGTTGGATGCGTAATATGTGACATTCAAAATCCAATTCCAATATCAACACGAATTCAAGCAAGAATATTAATATTTAATATAAAATTTCCAATAACCATTGGTTATCCAGTAATACTACATCATCAATCTCTTATAGAACCAGCTAGCGTTAATAAATTAATATCGATTGTACATAAAGCTACTGGAGAAATAATTAAAAAGAAACCAAGAGTGCTAACAAAAAATACTTGTGCTATAATTGAAATCGAAACAACAAAACCAATATGTGTAGAAAAATTTTCTGATTATAAAGAATTAGGCCGGATTACTTTACGTGTTGGTGGAATAACAATAGCAGCGGGTACTATATTAAAATATCATTAAAATAATTATGCAAGTACATTAATCAGATTTATATAATTATAAATGTTTTTTGTAAAAAAAAAAAAAAAACAGAAAAACAAATCATTTGTTGGATTTTTTGATACATATAATAAAATGTAAATTAAAATTTTAACAGCTTTTACAATTTAACAAAAAAAGAAATAGAAACTCCAAGAATATATTATTACAATAACCTTGCTTTTTACAATAACAAGAAGAAAGAACTGGAAAGAACTTTCTTTCAATATCCTTAATTTAGAAGATCTTTATCAAAATCAATAAACCATTAAATTTATTAATTTTCATTATTTATTAATTTTTAATAATTATTTTTTTTAAGGCAGGCTAGTCACCTACCTAGTTAACTGTATGACGCTATGAAAGTAGTGCATGATATCATGCACTAGCCCTATGCTCCTTCTAGGAGTGAATAAGAAAAAAAAAAATTATTAATTTTTATCACGTATTAAGATTATTAATGATTTTTATTACTAAATGAAATTAATGAATCGCTCTAGTATCAAATTAAATTTTTATCAAATGTGTATTTTAAAATATTTTTATTTTTTTGCTTTTTTTTTCAATATAAGAATTAATTTTGTAAAAAAAGGTATAGGTAGTAATAATTGAAATCAAATTCAGTGGTTAGATAGATAATCTTTTAAAAAAAAAAATCTAGTAAGCTATTTCAGTTAGATTCTTTGAATATAAAATAAAAAAACCCAATTACAATGCAAAGAATTTACAATACAAAATGTAGATATGTATAAAATAAAATATGTATGTACATATATACAAAAGAATTATCAAAGTTATTTTTTAATCATGATAACCGCTAAAATTAATGGTTTTTGTGTGTATAGAAAATACTCAAGCATTTAAAAAAATTATTCTAATATAAAAAAAAATCCTTTCCTTTTTTTTTGTTCTTTTGTATATAAAAATAGGCACATTCATTTATATATGTATATACATATTTCTTATTGTTAACTAAATCTAGATGTGATTTATAAAATCTCTTTTATTTCTTTGTTATTATTTCAATTGGTTTTTATATTCTTTTTACATATTGGAAAATTATTTCAATTATACGATAAAAACATAAACTAATCTTCCTTTTATTAATTCTGTTTCCCCATAAGGATAAAAATCATTCTAGTATTTTTGTTGTCTGATCATTTGTCTTCTTATTTTCTTTTGTAATATATACATCTATACCATAATATACAAGCATTACGAGTATATATTACATATATCAATTACATATATAGTGTGTACCTGAAAATTGCATATTATTTGAAATGGTTACAGTTCAACATTAAGAAGAAATGATCAAAAAAAATTTGAAAATAATTTTTTCATTACTTTTAATAAAAATTAAAAATTTTAGATTTTCTTTTGATCTGCATTATATTTTTTTAATAAATTATAATTAATTATATCTAAATACACCTACATATTTATATATTACATACATATATATATTTTTTGTAATATTTTAAAATGGAAATAATTTGATGATCGGTCATAGGTCATGAATGCGCTTTAGTTACTTTCAATAAACACAGCACTGGATAATTTAATTATTCCTTGTTTTTTTCTTTTTGTTTTAGAATTTTCTATAGAATTCACTTTTAAAAAAGCACCTTTTAAATAATAATAGAAACAACAATAAAAAAATTAAAAAATAGTCCTGCGCAAATGTAAGGAGTATGTACTACCTATTTAGTGAATCGCAATTTAAATAAAAGAAAAAGAAAATTGTTTTTTTTCTTTTTTTTTTTTCGAATTTATTTTTTTTATTATTTTGTTTTTGTTCAAAATGTATCCTGGTAATGTGTAATAACTCTTACTTTTTCTAGTTGAACAAATGCATACAGAATATGTGTGTGATACAATGGGAGAATAAAATAATCTATTGCTATGAGAATGAGTAAAATAAGCAAAAAAATAAGAAAAAAAAATTTTTTAGCTGTTGTTGATGCTACCTAAAATCATATAAACATTTTAAAAAGGATATTGTATAGGGAACATCGCTTCGAATAGGTTTGATAGGTTTGTTTTATTTTTTGTTTTTTTTTTCTTTTTTTGTATTTTCCATACATTCATGCATTATAATATTATGTATTATTATTGCTAATAAATAAAAAATAAACTAAATATTATTTAAATAGGTGCATAATATTTATTTATAAACCGTACATAAGAATATTGTATAATAATTTTATTTTATTTAAAAGAAATGTAAGCTTTTGAATTTAAAATATGCAATTCAATTAAATGGGGATTAAGTGCTAATATTAGCCTAATTTTTTAGATTATAATAGATTATCGAGTTAGTATGCCTTATATATCTTAATATTCCAACTCTTTAATATATAAATTAGCCTAATTTTCTATTTCGAATTAAATAAGTAGAAACTGTGTGCGGTAATTATTGATAAATCAAATGTAAGTTATAATTTGTGTAAATGAAATGATTTCAAAAATTATGCAATCCCAATTTAAATTTCCAGCTCATAATTATAATGGGTACGTTTTCGTAAATTTGATTAATTTCGGCACGGAAAACAATATATTCGATAAATATTTTAGAACAAATTTCAAAATATCGTAAAATATTTTAGATAATTTTATAATAATTTTATTTGTTGTTCTATAGCATACGAAATATGTGCATTTTTTTTTTTTGAATTTTGTTCGTACATACCTATATATAAAAATATTTTGTACTTTTATAGCTCTATTTTAATTTACCAGTACCTATACCAGTATATACTATTATTTAAAAATAATCCTTATACAAATGTTTTGGACTATACAATAAATTTTGATTTGAACATTTTTTTTTTGCTTATTTTTTTTTTTTTTTTGTTTTCTCCCAATAAACATGTATGTACGTATTTAAGTAAGTATATACAATTATTGCATAAATAGAAACTTATTTTATCTACTGAAAATATTTTTTATAGATATATCAGGGTACATACATACATACATATATGATTTTTTTGTTCTCTCTGCGCCGTTTCTCAAAAAAAAATTTTCATCTTAAAATATTGTGAATATTGGAGGACCAAAAATGAACAGTTTTTTTTTCTTGTTTTTTGTTTGTTTTTTTTTTTTAGTAACACAAAAAAAATTATTCTATATCCCAGTTTATTTCAGTTATCGAGAAATTTTCATTGCAAAGGTTTGAGAAATTTTCTCATCTTAAAAATATAAAAAAAAAAAAAAAATCACAAAAAATATTTATTTTTTATTTAATACATGTATATATATATATATATAGAAATTCTAATGAAATCGAATATATACATACATACATATAGACAACATATACATATAAAATATTGAAAAAAAAAAATTTTTTTTTTTCCTATACAAATTTCAATAAAAAGGATATGTGTACTGTTTTTTTTTTGTTGTATATTTGATTTTTCAATGCAAATGAAAAAAAAAAATAATTAAATATAATTAAATGTTAATTAAAATTATATCACGCGATAATTTTATTTAATTATAACTATTAAATTATTAAAAAAGGAATTGAAGTTAAAAAAGAAATTAAATAGAAAATAAAAAAAAAAAAATAGAAGAAGAAAAAAGAAGCAATCAGAAAAGGAAAAAAAGGATAAAAATTTGTACACACATACCCACGCACGTACTAAATATAAAATATATTTAATGTGGAAATGATAGTGAAATTCAGAAAATGTAATTGGTACGGAGATGAAAAAAAAAATTATTTTTTTGATTTATTTTCAATTTTATCTAATATTTTATTTTTTAAAATTTTTTTATTTAAAAAGAGAAGAAATAAACTTAAATTAAATTTCTTTGTATAGCATTTTTTTTTTCCTTTTCTTTTCATTTTTGTATAATGTACTCAAGGTTCTTATAAAAAAATTTTTACAATTTTCTTTATCGTTTTTTTTTTTTGTTATTCTGTAAAATATTTTAACAATGACATAAATACATTGATTAATAGTCTTACAGTTTGAAAAAAAAAATTTCTATACATTTTTATACAAATGTCCTTAAATACACGCACATATATACATAATAAATTTGTTTAAATTTAGATATATATATATATATATATATATATATATATATACATCTATCTGGTTTATATGAGAGTATATATTAGTATATATAAGTTAAATAAATGTATATATATATATATATATATATATATATATATATATATATTGAATATATATAGTATATATATATATATATATATATTGTACTTAATTGAATTTTAAAAAAATGAAAATATGAATTAGAATGAAAATGAGTCCCGCGTTTTTATTATTTTTTTTTGTATGATTTTGCATAATATATTTAAAGTATATACACAGGAACATATTGTATTCATATATATATATATATATATATATATATAAATATATTATGTGGTGCAGTAAATTTAAGTAATCAATTAAAAAAGGAAGACACAAAAAATTGAAGGTGTTAACAACCATTTTGATTAATATTTTTTTATTCTTTCATTGTGATAAATTTTTATTATTAAATTTATAAGATTTTTACATAAACTTAAATAATATAAATTAAATAATTTAAAAAATAAAATAAAATTTATTGGAATTCTATTGGAATTATATTGTAATTTTAATAATAATTATTTTATATGATAAACATTTAGTGTATAATTTATTTATCACATAATTTATAATTTAATTCTGAAGATTTTTATATAAAAACTAAATTTATATAATTGAAAATTTTCTTTTAGTAATTTGAATATTTACGTTTGTGTATAATGCATGAAAATAATAAAATTTCTAAATTATTAAAAAAAAATAATATAAAATTTTTAATGTTATTACTGTTATATATAATATACAATTATTATAATACACATATATGTATATAATAAAAATATTAATTTCAAATCGCACACACATATATAAATTAATTAAGTTTAAATTTATAAAAATTAAATATAAAATAACTCAAAACTATAATAATAAACTAACAATTAATTTAATTAACTATATAATATAAATATTTAATTAACAAAAACAAAAAATTTTATTTATTTAAATATATATTTTTAATATATAAGTAATTCAATGTAATTGCATATTATAATATAAAACATATTTATATATGAATTATATATGAGAATTTGTATATATTAAATAAAATATTAAATAAAATTCATTAAATAACTATAATAAATCCATATAATAAACAGCAATAACAATAATATTTTTTGTTATACCTACATACACATAATATACACAAGGTATAACACGTCATAATAATTATATTTTGAAAATCTAAACATTTAATTTGTTTACTATTTAATTTTATTTTTATTTATTAATATTTTGTAACTAAAATTAATATTTTAAAATAAATATTTTCAATATTTTAATATTTTTCATTAATTAATTATTAAAATGTTTTTTAATATAATTTGTTGAAAATAATTTAATAAAATTTAATAATAATATATATAATTAAATTGAAAATGAATTTTTATATTTGTAATAAATAATATATAACTAAAATATTTAGATTTTAATATAATAACAGATAATATTAATCTTTAATGTGCAAATATTGATTATAATTGCAACTTGACATTTTCAAATTTAATAAATAAATTATAAATAATTATATAAAAAAATTAATTATTTTATTATTGTGATTATTAATTTATACATGAAAATATTTTATTAATAATAAATTAAAAAAAAAATATTAATAAATAATTAATTTAAACCAATAATTTAAATTTTTAAAATAAATAATATAAAAATAAAATATTACCAATTGTTTGTGTGTTTATGCAATTTATTATTGTGAATATTTTTTGATATAATTCATATTTATTTTAGGCATTTCTTTTATACATACATATACATATATATGTATATATAGAGTGAGCGGTATTATAAAATTTTCTAAATTAAAATTGTAATTTTTTTTAACAATAAAAAAACCAAAAAAAAAACAAATCAAATTTTATTTTTTTATTTCTTTTCATTTTATATGTGCAATTTATTGATATACTTTAATATATTTATGTATATATACATATATGTACATGCATATATTTAGGTCTAGGTGCCATATACATATAAAAAAATGTATATATATGTATATATATTATATAAAAGAAATTTTGGACCCCAAAATCAACTCTATATTTATAGTACCATATAATAAATATATTATGGAATGATTATAAATTTGTTATACAAAATTTGTGAATATAACAATAATATAATTTTAGTTTAATTATATATTTATTTATATATTATATACTACATATATTCATAAGTACATATATATATGATAATGATATATTTTTAGAAAAAAATTCTCTTTTAAAATTTCTTTTTCGAAATATTTCCTTATATATATATATATATATAATTTTCTATATGCAATCAAATATCTTTTATATTTTTATATTTATAGAAAAATTAATTTAAAATAAATTTTTGTTTTATTGTTTTGTTATATTTTCTAAGCAAAAAATTTAAGTAAATAAATAATATAATATATATATATATATATACATAATGTGCACGTATATACACTAATTAAATTATAGTGAACTTTATAGTAAAAAGAGCAGGCATGTATACATATAAGTACTTACAAAATATATAGTATATACATATACGATATATATACATAAACGATTTGTGAAATAAATTTTAATTTTTATAAATTTAAAATTATTTTTAAAAAAATATATATATCAATATATATATATATACTATATATAAATAATATATACTTGTAATATATATTTCACTCATATATACCACAATATATATATTCTCATATATATATATATATATATATATATATATATATATATATATATATATATATATATATATATATATATATATATGTACATATATGCATTTTAAATGAAAAAATATTTATAATATGTAGCAAAAAATTATATTTATATTTTTGCTTTTACACCTTAACTATTATATTCTACTCGTATAAATACATACATATATAATATATATATTATATGTACAGTACAAACAAACATTATCATCCCTAAAGAAAAATATACTAAAAAACAAAAAACAACAAAATAATAAAAAAAAAAACAATTCATCGCGTTCCGATTTTGTTACCATATAGAGAGAGAGAAAAAAAAGTAAAAATACAAAAAAAAAGGGCATACACCTTCCTATACTATTTTACCCATTTTACTTAAAAGTAATAAGGACTAAGGACTAAGGAGCAGAATACATTATTTTTTATTCACTTCTATTATTACACATATTTTTTTTTTTTTTTGTTTTTCTTGTGTTCCGATCTATGGAGAGTCTTAATTTTTAGTATAATAAAAATAAAGAATAAAAAACAAACAAACAGAAAAGTAACAGCAGCAGCAGCAGCAGCCCAAAAGTAGCAAAAAAAGTTTAAAATAATGAAAAAAAAAATAAAATTTTTTTTTTTTGTTTAATAGAAAAAGGCAAAAAGGCATAATAAAAAATTTATATTAACTAATAAAAAATAAAAAAAAAAAAATTAATATATGTATGTATATATGGATATTTGTTCACATACACATGCATACAAACATATACGTATTTTTTAACAAACAAACTATTAAATTAAAGCTGTAAACCTTTTCTTTTTCTTTCTATTCTTGTTTTTCTTCTTCTTTCCATTTCTTTTTTATTTTGTTGTTTGGTGCTTTTAGTTGTTTGTTCGGAAAATTTTTATATAGATTTTCTATTTTATTTATTTTTTTTTTGTTTGTTACCTATAATTTTATATTATAGGGTACATACGTGTGTTTACTATATTTATAACATTTTGTGTGATAAAATTTTTTTCATTTTTTTTTTCATTATTTTTTCTTCTTTGGTGTCCTTTCTTATATCAAATATAATTTTCGTACATAATATGAGTATATTTGCAAATACATATATGTATTTACATATATGTATATTATTATATTCGCAATATATATGCGGAGAAATTTATAGTTGTACGTACTTATGTATATGTATGTAAAAAAACATATATTTTTGTAAATATTGCAAGTAAAAAAATAATAATAATATCTTATAAAATAAATCCTTTCGGTTACTTGAAATTAAATTACACAATTCTGTACATATATATATATATATATATATATATATATATGGGTATATACACAAAGAGTTAAAATATATTTATTTATGTATATATATTTTTTAATATAAATTATAATTTGTTTACCTGAACGGGTAATAATAATGTGTATACATATATGTGAACACGAATATAACGGGATATTTAAATAAATTGAATTTATAAATAACATAATTCAAAAAAAAAATTTTTTTTTGATGAAAATATAAAAAAATATAGCATTTAGATTTTTAAAATATTTTGTGACATTTGCATATATATATATATATATATATATATATATATATATATATATATATATATGCATATATATCAGTTTAATAACATGTATATAAAGTTTCTTGACATTCCCTTAAAAACTTTAAAATTGTATAATTAGTTATAAAAGGTTTGTGTGTTAAAATTTATTATAAAATTCAAGTTTATTATGAATGAAATGTTACGGGATTGCTATATATATATATATATATATATATATATATATATATATATATATATATATATATATATATATATATATATATATATATATATATATATATATATTTGTATATGTAATTA